ATACAAAAACAACTGATATGATTAATAATAAATCGGAATAAATAATATTAGTATTAATGTATAATTAAAATTAATAATAATTTTTAATTAATAATAATTACTATTTATACATCTAATAAATAAATAACTTGGGTGACACGTGTCATCTTCTGATAAGTCAGTTATCTTATTTTTTCCGCCTAAACATGTATCTATACACAGTTTACATTAGTGGTTCAATTAGACTCAACACAATTTACATTAACATTTTAATTATATTCATTTGATTGACATGTGTCCTCTTATTAAATCAATTTTACTAATTTAGGATGCAATTGATTTTATTATTTGGTTAATTAATTCGTGTGGTAACTGATTCCCGAAAAAAATGGTGTTTACTTCTAAGTTTAAATTCAATTTACTCATATAGTTTTATTTCTAAATTCAACTTTATTCTAGGTTTAACTTCATTTTATTCTAAATTCAATTTAGTGAAAARTTTTACTTTAGAGTTATTTCAAGAGAACAAGTCTGAAGTCATTTTTCAGAGTTAGATCACCTGAACTCTGAAGTTTACTTTTTCAGACATAGTTCACCTGAACTCTAGAGTCAGAACTCTGAAATCTTCTTTTTCAGATTTAGAAGTCTGAACTCTGAAGACTTTTTTTTAGACTTAGAAAAAGAAGTCTAAAGTCTTCTTTTTCAGACTTAAAAGTCTGAACTCTGAAGTCTTCTACAATTCTGAAGAGTACAAGTCTGAAAAGTCATTCTTCAGAGTTAGCTCACCGAATTCTGAAGTCTTCTTTTTCAGACTTAGCTCACCCGAACTTTGAAATCTGAACTTTGAACTCTTTTTTTTCAGAATTAGAAGTCTAAACTCTGATTTAATGGGATTGGTTTTATACTTCAGAGTTATTTCAAGTATACAAGTCTAAAGAGTCATTCTTCAAAGTTTTATTTTAGAGTTATTTCCATAGTACAAGTCTGAAGAGTCATTCTTCAGAGTTAGCTCACTCGAACTTTGTAGTCTTCTTTTCCAAACGGACACCATGCAGAGCCTCTGCATAGTGCATGCAGAGCTTCTGGCTTGCCTATGCATATCTCTGAAGTTTGAAGAGTTTTACTTCAGAGTAATTTCAAGAGTACAAGTCTAGTAATAAACTTATCTAGACTTTGAAGATAAGTCTTTAAGACTTAGACGTAGTCTTATAAGCCAGAGCCCCTCTGTTTGGTCTGGCTTCTGGATGTCTTTGCTTTTGGTTGTTTATTTGAACTTTGGAAAAATATTCTAATCCATCATAAAGGAACCAGATGGGCTCTGGTTGATCTTCATATTTAACCAGAGGGTTTCTGGTTGTAATTGAAACTTAAAATTTTTAAGTATTTAACATTTTTTTTACCCAGATCCTCTGGATAGACGAACCAAAGGCTATGGTTGACCAGAGAGCCTTTGGTTGGCCTTGCTTTTGGGTTGGCCTTGTTTTAGGTTGGTGAGTCTACAGGGGCTTTGGTCCTTAAGAACTAGAGGAGCTTTGATTGGTCTTACTCTATATGATGCAAACTTTACCATGAGATCTTTTTCAAATATATTGGGTATTTGAATAACTATGAACTCATTGTCTTCATATTTTGTCTTCAAATTTGACACATGCGCTCTTCTAAGTTCAAATTCAATTTACTGATATAGTTTCATTTCTAAGTTACATTTTATTCTAGGATTATCTTCATTTTAACTGATTATTGATATAGTTTCGTTTCTAAATTCAAGTTTGAAGAGTCATTCTTCAAAGTTATACTTCAGAGTTATTTCAATAGTACAAGTCTGAACTCATTCTTCAAAGTTTTACTTCAGAGTTATTTCAAGAGTACAAGTCTGAAGTCATTCTTCAGAGTTATACTTCAGAGTTATTTCAAGAGTAATAGTATGAAGAGTCATTCTAAAGAGTTAGCTCACCCGAACTCTGAAGTCTGTTTTTTCAGRCTTAGCTCACCCAAAATCTGGAGTCTGAACTCTGAAGTCTTCTTTTTCAAACTTAGAAGTCTGAACTCTGACGTATTTTTTTTAGACTTAGAAAAAGAAGTCTGAACCACAAGGGTGGTGCCTGATTGGTTTGAGTTTGGCTCCAAAGGTCAAAAGTACTAGGAGATCCCAGGTTCAAATCCAAGGAGGAATAAAAATCCCCTTGTGGCCACGGAGGTTCAAATGCGGTGACTCCGGGTTATCTGCAAAGTAGGTGGTCGCCCTGGGATTAGTCGGCTAACATAGCGGGTTGGATATCCAGGTTAATAAAAAAAACGAAGTCTGAACTCTGAAGTCTTCCACAAGTCTGAAGAGCCATTCTTCAGAGTTAGCTCACTCGAATTATGAAGTTTGAACTCTGATTTAGTGTGATTGATTTTATACTTCAGAGTTACTTCACGAGTACAAGTCTGAAGAGTCATTCTTTAGAGTTTATTTCAGAGTTATTTTCATATTATAAGTCTGAAGAGCCATTCTTCAGAGTTAGCTTACCCGAATTCTGAAGTCTTCTTTTCCAGATGAAGCACCCATGTAGAGCACCATGCAGAGCCTTTGCATAGTGCATACAGAGCCTTTGCATAGTTCATGCAGAGCTTCTGGCTTGCCTATATAGAGTCTGAAGTCTAAAGAGTTTACTTTAGAGTTACTTCAAGAGTACAAGTATGAAGTCTTTCTTCATATTTATACTTCAAAGTTATTTCAAAAGTACAAGTTTGAAGAGTCATTCAAAATTTTGGGGCCGTTTACCAAACGCTTACCCGGGTAAGCGCTTACCAAGTCACATTACCTTACCGGGTGAATATGGTAAGGACCAAGAGTCTTACCAGGTAAGAGGGAGATAAGGAGTGAGAGTTTTACCCGATAAGTGAGGGAGACGACTCTTTCCATGGTAAGCGCTTACTGGGTAAATTGTTGCATATGATGCCGTTTTTGGTGGACTAAAGTATTACCCGATTAGTAAATGGTAGTGTTAAATTTTACTGGTAAGCGCTTACCAGGTAAATGTTTTGGTAAACAACCACTTACTTCTAAGTTTAAATTCAATTTATTGATATAGTTTCATTTCTAATTTTAAATTAATTCTAGGGTTAACTTCATTTTTACTAATTATTGATATAGTTTCATTTTTATTCAAGTCTGAAGAGTTATACTTCAGAGTTATTTCAAGAGTACAAGTATAAAGTAATATCGTACTTTCGATGATCATTCATATCTGTAAGATAAGTTCCTGACATGATTTAATTTTTTCAAATTACCCCGTGTAATACCCGGGATC